GAAGTTGTTTAGTTTATTATTTATATATAATAACTCTATGGTAAAAGATTATTTATAAATCAGAACGTACGTAAAATAATTATTTACGTATCAACGGATAAGTTCTTGAGTCTTATTTATAAACAAATTTTGTAGCATTTCCAATTATTTATAAATAAGGGGAAAATGGCATAAATTCGGTCTAAATAATAAATTTACAAACGGCGCCCCATACACCCAAAATGTCAAGCCTCGGTGGTCGCTTATGGGAGTTGGTGGCTTACAAGAGCTTAGACTATATTGGGTCAAAATTTTGCCTCATTATCATTTGGTTACTGCGGAGACCCATGTTTTAAATTTTATTGATGTCAAAAGTCAAATTTCAAGAAAAAATACTGTACTTGCTATTGAGAAATTTCCGTCTCTTGTACTAGCTAGGAATGCGATAATGTTAACTACAACACCTTATTAGCCAATTTCTGGTATATTATCTGTCAAGTGGTCGCTTATGGGAGGTTAGGAGAGGTGGTCTGGGAAGAGGTGGTCGCTTATGAGAAGTACTGGTCACAACCAGTAGTTCAACTGTAAATTGAATTTGGCCAATTCATAGTCTATTTCTGCTACCCATACAAATTGCAGTGTATGGCAGAGGCTTACATCTCTGGTCTTTTGTTTTCCAGTTGTCTGCTGTTTACAATTTAGGTTTCATCTGCTCAGTCTTCTTGTGCTCTCCTTCAATTAATCTATCTGCAGTCTATCTGTTTTTAGTATCACCCAACTAGTGGACTAATGCAAATCCTGCATTCAAATTGGCTTCGCTACTAGAGGACTATTAGTAATAGTCCTCGAGTAGCGAAATTGGTGCAATCGAGCATGACGTTTTCTTTCGTTTTATTCCCAAATAAATATTTCTTTAACTTGCATTTGCTAACTTTATTTTTACCTTTTCTGTCCGACTAGTTGGGTGGTACTAAAACAATTAGACCCTTCGCCCTCAAGGGCTACGGGTCAATGGCCCATTTAGCTTCACCTCAAGGTCTAATTGTTAAATAGTATCTTAATTTACACTGTATGCGTAGCTGGCCCAATTTCATTGCTTAGTCCAGGTTAAAGTTCCGATTAAGCCAATTGAAAGTGATTATGTTTTTCTCAGAATCACTATTATCAGCCCCTATGGACCTTAGTTGGAGGTGGAATCAACCGTCTTGAAGAATCTGTGCGGCCAACTGGCAGTCTTATTCCAGGAGGCTGCACCTGGTATAAAACCAGTATTGCAGAATTCAATCCTGAGAAAAATCTTGTTCTGACAGCCAATGGAGATGAGGTTACTGATCTTTTTCCATTTGCATATGAAATTATTTATTAACTCTTCTTTCGGCATATTAATACATGTATGTCATCAAGAAAATTGCCAATGTTAGTGAAAGTCTGGTATCTCACATTTATCATGATCATTATTCATAATTCAAATATTTTGGAAACATGAATACTAAATAAATTCGCAAATATGTTCATAAATTTAGATCACAAGAAGTTTAAAGTTATTTACAATTTTCCTTTCTTATTTCAGATCAAGTATGACTTTCTAATTGTTGCAGTTGGACTTCAGCTTAGATTTGACATGGTACACAACTGTATGACATTGTGTTTGTATTAGAAAATGAACTCAAGACAATTGCAGGTCCTGGAATGATCTGTAATTTAGGAAAGAACACAAGACGTTTGGCACAAATCATTATTCCTGTCAGAAATTACAGTTATCATAACTACTTTAATTTTTGGCAAAGTGATACTTAACCCCTGGAGTGCCTACTGTATTTATGGTACTATCTCATGATCAGTACATCATGATTTGTGCCCCTTAGGTGCCTATAATGTTTGTGACTTACTGAGCACATCACAATTTTAAGTCAAACTCTTGGCACAGAGGAAACAACTTTTATCGGTACCTTAGATTCATAGGAGGTCTTTCAAGAGACTGCTATTAATTTCCCATTTCTGTGATGTGAAAGTAACCGCATTGAAGAGACACTACGTTTCAGAAAATGTGTACATGTACACGTCGATACAGTCATAGTTTAAGTGAAAAAGCTTACGGAATTTTAAAATGGTGTTGCACACAGCTTACACAGTGGTCTGGCACTCAAGGGGTTAAGGTTACAGTATACCTTCAGATCGGCAATTTTCTTCAAATTTGGATTTTTGGTTCAAACTAATGGTCGAAGAGTAATCTCTAATTTCTGAAAAC